TATCATAGATACTTAACCGAGAACATCCTTAAAAGAGGAAATAGTGCAAAGCAACTTAAAATCAATATATCTTATCCGTTGCGTAATAACCCTGAAAGGAGTTATTGTCGAGAAAAACAAATTGAGTCTATTCACCCCCCCCCCCCCACCTCTAGACTCTCCTTTCGACCCTACCAGGACCAACATGTTATTCAGTTTCATTTTATATATACTGTAGTTTCATTTTACCACAACTACAGTATCATTTTGATATAACTGCAATTTCATTTGATAATATAAAAATAATACGTGAGACAATGTCGGTTTAGATACACTATAGTGTCATTCAGTTAACACTGCGCGGTGCATAATTGATTATGCACCACGGTCCACGATATAACGACCCTAAATATACTTTGAGGGCTAAAATCATTTCGGGCTTAAGGCATTTGGGTAGTAAAATAAGGGTTCATAAAATAATTGACCAAAGCCCATTTTAGAACAATTAGCTTTATATACATTTTTAGTAAAATAATTAATAATAAGTAGATAGTCTTATTTGGAAAATATGGGGTGTCACACTCGGCTTTTCTAGCCTTTCTAAAATTCAAAATTCTTCCTTTTCTGGATTATCACTTCTTTTCTGATTGAGCCATTTCAAAATCTCGTCATCCTTATTTCTACTATTATTGTCATTATAAATAAAAATATAATAATGAAAGGATAATTGTAATTTTGTAGATAAGTATGTATGTATTATTTTTGAACTACAAATGTGAAATATGTAAAATGCAGCACACACTGATGTTGAAATTGAAGTTGTAACACAAACAATCTGGAACGCAGTTCGGGCAAACAACCCTAATCTGCGAGGCACTTCTCAATTTGAGAATTTGCTTAAATCCACTAAAAGCTCAATATTTAAAGTACACTGTTTGGAACCTGAGATTACAGAATAGAATGGTCCTTCCTACCAAACTATTGAAAGCTAAACACATGTACTACTTTCTAGGGAAATTTAGTAACTCTTCTCAATGACTCTCGGACCTCACAAGATTAATGTTGAATGCGTGAGTTCTGCAATAAAGGACAACCCTTATTTATAGTAGCTACTCCTAACAGATTCATGAATAACAAAGCTATTCCTAATCAAACTAGAACTAAAAAATCTTCAATAACAATTCCTCTTAGAACTAGTATTCTTCAATAGCTATTCCTCTTAGGACTAGTATTCCTTTATAGAACTGGAATTCTTTTTGCACATAACTTTAACAAAACACTTTGAGTCAACACTCCCCCCCCCCCCCCCCCCCCCCCCTTTGTCAAATTTTTGGCAAAAACCTTGATCTCATAGTGGCTTGATTTTTGATTCTCTTCTCCCCCTTAATTGATTCCATGTATCTCTTTCATCTGATGAGTGTTGTCTTGAATCTTTGTTTGTGACTTTATCACTATTTATGAGCTAATTGAGCTGCCAGCCGTATAACATAGAATATCAACTATTCAAGTTACATAAACAAAGAGCAAACTGGCTTCTTTTCTTTTTTTTCTTGACAGCTACAAAAAGAAACTTAACAGAAAATGTCAGATGTTCAAGTTTCACAAAGAGAGCACAAAAGCTTCTCTTCAAAAAAAAATTCTTTTATCTCCAGGCCCCCTTTTTTGCTAAAAACTTTCCGAGGCTGTTGAAACAGAAGTTTCAACACTTTCATCTTGGTCACCTTCCTAGCAGGCTGTTGAAACAGAACCTTCTTTAGGAATTTTGTGCTATAAGGCTTAGGCAGTTTTGGCAGTTCAGCTTTATTGGACACCTTTTCTCCCCCTTTTCTGTTGCTGAGAGTTTTCTCCTTCCCTTTTCTTGAAGATTGGCACGTGTTCTTGACTTTTCATACCCAGAGTTTTCACTTGATTTTTTCGGAACCCAACTTGCCTATTTTCTTCTGTTTTATCTTTCCGTTTATTAGCTCTATTCTTCTTTGGTGGAGGAATATTAGGTTTCCTCCAAGGGGGTCTAGCAGAAATTGGGAAATCATTTGGTCTTTTTGCCCTAGGATCAACCCCGTCGTAAGGATCGATTCACCTCGTTTTCCTTTGATCCTCGTTTGAATTGAGGGTTGGAATGTTGGGTTCATCAACCCCGGTTGTAAGATGTTCACAATCCAAGTAGCTAGGGCGAAAATTTACTTCAATTTCACGGTTTTGTGGTTCCTCATGTTCGTGATCCTCTGCCTCTTCTGCATCTTTCTCATCCTCAGTGAATTTATTGAGGTCTTGCTCAAAAAATAAGATGAACGAGGATCGGGTGCCCATCCTCGGTTTAGGGAAAAAGCTGGAGAGGAGCCTCTGTTTTCTTGAATATCGCAAATCGGAACCTGAGAAACAAGAGCCGGGTGCATGACGATCGTTGTTGGGTCATTATCTTCAATGCGAGCTAGGTTTGAGAAAACTCTGGTGCCATCATGCTGAGATGTCCCCCTACGAGGTATTTTTGATTTAGATTGATTTCGTGTTCTCACCATTTGTTGATTTTATAGACGATTGGGAGTGCGATGGAGGATGGTGTGTTGTAGGTGGGAGATTACTGGAGGAAGATGACCACATTTCTCTTTTCCCCTTTTTGTTTTAAAATGTGTTTCTGGGCTAGAGCTTTTGGGCTGAATTTTGGCCTTCTTTAGATTAGTCCTTTTTGTAACACCCCGTGTTACGCCCTTTAAACCCGGATTAATTATTAATTAATTCCATTAAAGAATAGTTTAAAAGGATTTAATTTGGTCAGGATCCCATAATTTAGTAATGTGGTCCACAAAGGACCGTGGACCCTTAACTATATCAAACCCCTTAAGCCTAATAAAATAAGGAAAGTGAGTCTTTACTATTCAGATTCTAATTAGGATTCCTAAATCTATATATAGGGAGTTAGAAAGCTTTTAGAACCCTTTCCACCCATATTCCTATAACTCGAAATTCCCCAAGAAACCCAGCCAAGGAATTCCCCATCACCAAGCTTAGGAAAGATCAATTGGAAGGAAATCGTGAAAAAGGATCCTAGGAGTTGTGAGATATTGAATTAAGGTTAAGAGGTAACCCATGTCTTACAAAACCTATTTTCCTTACTATGCCATGATAGAGCTTGTCTTTAGGATTTATATGTGGTTTCTTGTTGTTCTTGAGGTTCTTGATGTTCTTGAACCGTTATGTGTTTATTCTTGAGTCTTGGTATGTTTAGAGCTTGTGTCTACTGTGTAATTGTGTTTGTTTCTTGTCTTATTCTTGGTGTTCAAGTCCCTATTGTTGTTGATGTGTGTTGGGATGTATTTGGACTTGATTTTGGGTAAAATTGATGAATTCCCAGGTTGGGAAAGTACGGTCACCGTACCAGCGGGGGATGAACCCCCACCTGACCAACAGCCAGTACGGTCACCGTACCAGCGGGTGGCCGGTGGGTGGACGACCACCCGCCGATGTACCCGCTGGTACAGTGCCGCCCGCCGGCGGGAGGTTGTCCTCTCGCTGGTACGGGCGGGGCGGTGTTTGGTTTTCCCTTGTTTGTTGTTTATCCGTGCCCCGTTGTGCCCCGTTTTATGTTTGTGAGTCTAGTTTGATGTCGTAGGTATCGAATTGGTATCATGTTGGCCTAGGATGAGGTTTGTATGTTTCCTTGTGAGTCTTGTGGTTGCTTTGTTGTCATGGGAAGTATAGTCTAGGATGTTCCCCGTGGGTTGTGTGTTTGTATTGTGTCATTGTTGATTAGAGTCTATTTGTTTGTTGTGCCCCTACCCTTGCCTACCCCTTGTGAATTATTGTTGAGTATTGAGTATTATTGTTGTTGAGTATTGGTTGTTGTTGTTGTTGTCCATGATGAGAAGAAAATATATGAGATTGGTGGTATAAAATTGATAGGTGGATTTGATGCACTGCGCGTGTTTTTGGTGATAATTGCGCTGCGATGAAATTATCCTTTTGATATGGTGCTGCGGTACCTATTCTGATGCACTGCGTGTGCTTTTGGTATTGTGCTGCGGTACAATCTATTTAATGGCACCTCGTGTGCTGAGAGAGATCAATGGTTTGATAGGGTTGCACGAAGGAAGCATGCGCTGCTCCGGAGAGATAAGGGTGTGGTGTATAGGGTGGCCTGAAGGTAAAGGTTGGAACTGTTATAAGGATGGAGAGGAGTAAAGGTTGGAACTTGGTATAAAGTTGGATCATGGACGTGTTTGTTGTTGTTGTTTGTTATTGTTGAGTCTTATTGTTGTCTTGCCTTGTGGTCTTAGTTTGCATGCTTGTGTCTTTACGTTGTCTTATAGTGTCGAGTCTATTGGTGTGTCTTGAGTCTTGATCTTGGTTTTAAAACTAGAGTTATCTAGGACTATATATGTATTCCCATGTCTCAAAATGGTTTTCTTATATCTACCTATATTGTACTCAACGCGTAGGAATGGGTTACTCAGCATTATTCGCTGACAGCTGTTACACCATATGTTTTTCAGGTACTGGCCAGTAGCTTTGGAGTGCGCTAGACGGATTCGTGAACTTAGCTTTAGATAGTCCTAGCTTTAGTTTCGATGGCCTGTGCGCCTTGGTTGTATTTGGATATTGATTGTGGATTAAGCTTTGTTTAGTTAGTTTAGCCTGTGCATCTAGGTTCTAAAGCTTAGATGTGGCATAGCACCCCGATACTTATGTTTTAGCTTCCGCTCTGTTTGGGTATTAATGATAGATTCGCCTTTATTTCATAAGTTTTAAATGTTTTAAAATAGCCTGAAAATTAGAAGTGTTACAGTTGGTATCAGAGCTTAAGTTCGACCCTAGGATAATGCCTTTAAGATAAGACTTTAGGATATTAAGCTTGAACTCTAGGTGTTTAAGTACTTAGGACTTATGAATCTTAGGATGCGCAGTGAGATTGTGAGTTTATTTATCGCTTTCTGCTTAGTTTTCTTTTGACTTGCTCGTTGCTTAGTTTAAAAGTTCTTGTAGCTAAGGCACCAGGTAAGGGTTCCTGTTCCTCACCTACATCTATGACCGATGTTAACCCTGTAGAATTTGAAATGGCACCACTAAGAAACCGTGCAAGGACTCCCGAGACACTCGTTAACGACCCACTAGCCCAGAACCTGCAACAATTGACTCTGATCGCCCAGACACTGAGAAACGTCATCCTAAACAACAACAACAGTCCGCCACTGAACGAGAACCACGATGCAGCTTGCCAAGTATCCAGCCACCGTCCTCCTACCTTCGCCGGGGAAGAGGATCCTACGACACTCGAAGAATGGATCCGAACGTTCGATAAGATCTTCGAAGTAGTGGGTTGCCCGGAGGAACGTCGTGTCGAACTGGCGACATTCTACTTTGAACACGAGGCTGACTTATGGTGGTTCCACGAAAGTCCGGCCTTTAGACAAGAACCGGGTTTCAACTGGGAAACCTTAAAGACCAAGTTGCGAGAAAGCTTTTACCCCGCACACGTAAGATCAGCAATGTACGAAGAGTTCCTTCACCTAAAACAGGGACTCGCTACAGTAGTGGAATACCACAAGAGATTCCTAGAATTGACTCGTTTAGCACAGATGTTGGTACCTACGGAGGCGACTAAAGTAGACAAATTCGTTGCTGGGCTCAACTTTGACGCTAGGAAGGCCTTAACCGTGAGCAAACCTAGAACCCTCAACGAAGCCTATGCTAGCGCCGCCAACCTCTATTGATCCAACTGTTACAACGGGGAGTCCAGGAACAAGTGAAGAGGAGGAATGACGGGAGCGGGGGCCCTAACTTCAAGAGGGCAAGAGGTGATTCCAACGTAAAGACAACTCATCGGCAAGCCCAATGTAACACCCCGTGTTACGGCCTTCAATCCCGGATTAATTATTTAATTAATCTCGTTAATAATAATTAAATATGATTTAGTTTTGTTGGGTTTCCCTTTAAATAATTAATATGGTCCACCATGAATCGTGGACCCTTGCCTAAACTAGAGTTTTAAGCCTATTAGGAATAAAAAGAGTAAATCTTTTACTAGTCAGATTCCAATTAGGAATCCTAGACCTATACATCTATTAGGAATAAAGAAATTAGGCATTTACTATTCAGATTATGATTAGGAATCTTGATTCTATAAATAGGAGATTAGAAAGCAATTATAATCTTCACCACCCATAATTATATTACACAAAAATATTCCCGGGAGATCCCCCACCACCAAGCCTAGGGAGACCAATCAGATGGAAATCTTAGAGAAGAACCTTAGTATCCAAGGATTCTGATTAAGGCTAAGAGTTAACCCATGTCTCAACAAAACCTATTTTCTTTGCTATAATCTCCTTCTTTGGCTCCTTCTATATGCTTGTGTCTTGATGAAATCTTCTATGATAATTATGATATGATCTTGATGATAGATGAGATGATTTTATGTGTGATCTTGATAATCTTGATGATGATAAGAGGATCTTGATGATTGTGTGATATTCTTGATAAATCTTGATGTTTCTTGACATTAAAGATGAACTATGATCTTGATAATTTAAATATGATTAGAGCCCTAGGTTGAATCGTGAATTTCGTATTGGGATATTCTTGGTATATTTGGGTGGGAATTCACATGTTCGGGTGTTGATTATGTCTAGAAGTCATGATAGGATGTGTTCTATGTGATTCTTGCTTTTGATCCGTTAATTGTCTACGTGGTGTCATCAATTGCGTTTAAAAGTGTCTAAGCATGGTTTCAGGTTCCACGAAGGATCCCGGGATGTATATTTTGGAAAAGAGTCAGTGGGGGGTAGGGGGACCCGCCACCTACCCGCGGCCAATTTTAACGCCGCCGGCAGCGGGCAGACGTCTGCCCGCCGGGCACCCGCTGCCCGGAGATTCTTCGCCGGTGGGTGGCCCTCCACCCGCTGGAATTTTACCCAATTTGAGACTTCGGCTTCCCCGTTTGATGTTCCCCAACCCCCCGTGGTGTCCCAACGGACCCCGTTTGTCGTGCATGAGTTTAGTTGATGTTTTGGGTATCGTTCGTAGGATAAAAGAGTCTCGTATATTGCATGCTAGTTGAATCGGTAACCCGTTGGCCTAGGAGGAAGATGTATGAACCCCTTAGGACTATTCTTAGTATGTGGATAATCACGCATAAGGTTATTTATACGCTTTCCCCCTTCCCAATGTGCTAATATGTGTTACTATGTGTTATGTGAGCATGATACCCCAATTTGGTTGCGATCAAATTGGTTATACACGAACTGCGATTCGTTATCTTGGCTGCGGTCAAGCTGGTTACTCATGAGCTGGGGTTCATTCTCCTAGCTGCGGTCAGTGACTCACTTCTTGGGCTGCGGTCCACATGGGCCTCGTGTGCTATGGTCCACGGACTGGATACACCAGGCGGTGTGTAGGGCCACTAGCCCGTGGAAGGCCATAGTCCACCGAATGAGTGATCAGGCGGTGTGTAGGGTTATGGTCGGCTGCGATCCACCGAGTGTATGGGCCAGCGGTGTGTAGGGTCGTAGTCCCCGAAGATCATTGCCCACCGAATGAGTCCCTCAGGCGGTGTGTAGGGCTTTGATCAGCTACGACCCACCGACTGAGCTCGTCAAGCGGTGTGTAGGGTCGTAGTCCCCAAAAGAGGATCATAGTCCACCGACTGAGCGCGTCAGCGGTGTGTAGGGCTGTGATCCGCCGTTGAAACTATTGATGGTCTATACAGTTGGCTGCGGTCAACTCCTTCATGCTGCGGTATGAGGTAGGGTGCTGCGGGGTCGTGTTAGTACTATATACATTAACCCTCATGTTCGGGGCATGCGATTGGTCCCGTGGCGCCACCAAAGTGTCCTTGTGTGACGTAGATATTGATTGGATGATGATGTGAATGATTTGAAAGTAAACTGTGACCTTAGATACATGTTTTTTATGATATTATCTCTATATAACTGATTATCATTGTTTAATGTGCTTATCCCTACTTGTCGAGTCTACTCCTGGTTTTTAAAGCTAGAGTCTCCTAAGTATATATCTTCCTGCTTCAAAATGGTTTTCATATATATATATATATATATATATATATATATATATATATATATATATATATATATATATATATATATATATATATATATATATATATATATATACCTATATTGTATTTCAACGCGTTGGAGTGGGTTACCAGCATCATTCGTTGAACAGATATATTTGGCTTTCAGGCATAGATGATTAGCTTCCGGAGCGCGCTAGAAGATCTTGGATTAGATAGATAGTTTTTCCTTTCGGCCTGCGTGCCATGATGATGTATTGAGGATATTTAGTTAGTTTAGCGTGTGCATCTGAGTTCTCCAGCTCAGATGTGGCATAGCACCCCACACTCTTATGTTTAGTTATGCTCTGTTTTGGGATTTAATGAGAATTTACCTTTATTATATAAGTTTTAAAAGTTTCCAAAATCTGGGGTGTTACACCCAAGGCCCGCCTAAAGGAAACAACGAGGGCAAGGGAAGGTATTACCTGTGCAAGAGATGCGGCAAGGACCACCCAGGGAAAGACTGCCACGGGAACGTCGTGGTGTGCTACAACTGTGGGGAAAAAGGCCACAAGTCTTTTGAGTGTAATGAACCTGTACGTATGAGACCACCGACCACGATGCAACAAGGAAATACGAACAACCAAGGAAACTATGGGGCACCGGAAAAGTGTTTTCCATTAGTCGCACGCAAGCTGACGTCGAGGCCGAAGCTGGGGACGAAATCGAAACCGAAGACGTGGCCATAGGAGACGAGGACCCTACGAATCAATCGGGAGAAAATCCTGGAGAAGAATTTTGTGTAGGTTAAAAAGGGTGATCCTTGTAACCCGCCCCCTTTATCGTAGAGTTTTTACCTTGCACGATTATTTGGAACCCCTTTATTTTAAAGTGAAATTAATTAGTTAATCCGATCGATTTAATTTCCTTGCTTCGCCCTTCAAGCTAACTAGAACATTTGTTCATATCCTTACGAATTAGGAGACCTCTGAAATAATGCATGCTACATCTAAGCATTCAATTAGGGAAGTTTTACGTAGAGTTTTAAATCCTACACTATGGCAAGTAGTGGTAAAACCCTAAAACATAAGGAAGATAAACCAAAATTAGGGAAGTTTTACGTAGAGTTTTAAATCCTACACTAAGGCAAGTAGTGGTGAAACCCTAAAACATAAGGAAGATAAACCAAATGCCTTAGAATAAGCTAAGTGTAGCATATAAGATTTAAACTTTGGACCCTTCCTTCCCAAACCAATGCCTTAACCACTAAACCACAAGTGTTTCTTGAAACAAGTAGTGTTTTGTCAACACTTATCCATTTTGTTCTAATAATATTAGCATCTTTGGGTTTAGATACTAATTCCCAGACTTTGTTTCTTTCAGACTATTGTAGTTCCTTTTGCATGGCTTATATCCAGAATTCATCTCTTAGTGCTTCAACAATATTATTTGTTTCAAACTTGGAGGTGAAACAATAGTCTCCTTCGACCATTTTGACGTAATCTTGTTTCTTTCCTCTAGTTTTGATTCCTTGATTGAGATCCCCTATGATGTTTTCTAAAGGATGATTTTTCTAAATTTTCAAATTCCCAGTTGAATGTACTTTTTCCCTGTTCCTTTTTTGTTTCTGTTTCCTTTGCCTCTTCAAATTCTGTCTCTGTTTTGTGTTCATGTGTGACAGTAGCCGGAGGTGTTGGAACAGTTGTTTCAACAGCTTCTGGGTTTTCTTCATCATTAGTGTTTTCTGTTGAAATTGTGTTATCAATGACCACATTCATAGATTCCATCACACTGTTTGTTCTGGGGTTAAATACTCTAAAAGCCCTACTGTTTGATGAATAACCTGGGGATATTCATTGGTCCCCTTTGATGTCATGAAAATTTATGTGTCCCATACATTGGTGCCGTAATTGTGTTTGCTTGATGGTTGTCTGTAAACAAGATAGGTCACCATCCCATGTGTAGCATTTGTTTGCGGACCTTTTTTCCATCATGACACACTCGTGATTTTGATTAAACACATTGCAACTATCTCTAGAGAATTCTACTTTGAGTTCATCTTCATAAAGCTGACTTATGCTGATTAGATTTGCTTTTAGGCTTTGTACTAAGAGGACTTTTGGCAACCTAGGCAGCCCATGGACATTCAAGGTACCACTTGCAATAATTTGTCCTTTTCCACCGTCCCCAAAAGTGACCCGGCCTTCAGTTTTGTATTGTATGTTCTCAAGATTTTCTAGATTTCCTGTCATATGCCTTGAACATCCGCTGTCAAAGTACCAAATGTTTTGCTTGTTGTTATTTCTTGTGGTATATGCAACAGCTTGTGTTTGATCTTTTCTTACCCAAACTTTCTTGACATTAAATTATTTTTATTATGTACTGCCCAATTTCTACTGTTTTTTCTGTACTGAAGATCATTTAGTCTTTTATAACAGTATGTTTTTATGTGTCCCAGCCCGTGACAGTAGTAAGATCTGACTCTCCTTCGGTGTCGAAAGTGATGTTGTGACACTTCTGGATTTTCAGTTGTATAGCTTTCCTAAGATGCTGAATTTGGTGACTTAGGCCTTTCTGTGAGCATTTTAACTTCCTGTATTAGCTTGGCCTCTTTGTTTTGTGCTTTTAATAACTCTTCTTGAGCTTCTTTGAGGAGTTTTCCCTCTCTCTCTTTTTCATTCTTTAGGAATTGATTTT